ATGGTGATGATGATGAGGATGATGGTGAGAAGGAGGGGACCCAGATCAGACAGAGATGAGTCCCCTGTTAGTGCCCACTGGAATATTTTCAGAAGGGGAGGGGTGACAAACAGGAAGTGGCACCACAGTGTAGCTGGCGAGAGTTGTTGGAGACTTTGTTGTGAATCACACACACACACACACACACACACACACACACACACACACACACACACACACACACACACACACACACACACACACACACACACACACACACACACACACACACACACAATATGAAGGTCAGAACGTTCTCTTCCAGCTGATTCATGAAGCCGTGTTTATCTGTTTGCATCAGAGGTTCTTTGTCTTCTTTTAGGGTTTGACTTGATGCATCATGTGAACCAGGTCACCTCCCTGCTGTGCACATTTGGAAACGTCCCACTGAGGCTAAAAGCTTTACATTAAAACAACCCACCAAAGTAAGGGTTTGTTGTTGTCGGCATTGAGGTTGGTTTCTATACCGGAACATAACACTCTAACAACTGTATGTGGTTAATTTGCTGCCTGAAACCAGCCAAGTTTTATTAAAATGTTTAAATTCTGTACGTTTTTAACTCATCACTGATCCGGGCTTTCTCAGTCCTAGCACCGTCTCTCTGGAACCAGTTGCCACCCTCAATTAGGCTGTCCCCATCTCTGCCAGCCTTTAAGAGTCGCCTAAAAACACCTTCTCCGCTTGGCGTTTCCTGAACATGTTTGATTCGGCCCTCTTTTACGTTGAATTTCTTTCACAGTTTTCATTGGTTCACTCTATCCCTTGTTTTACCCATCTGTCCTGTACAAGAACGTTTCACCTTTTTTTGTAATTTGTATTGCTTTTATTTCAGAATTGCTTTAATTTTTGATTTGTACTTCTACTGTACCATGTTCAGCGCCTTGGGCTTCCTGACAGGGTTGCGGAAGGCGCTTTATAAATAAAGCTTTGATTGATTGATTGATTGATCCAGATGATGTTAACCTGCTAGCATTTAGCTCGCTCTGCTACAGCTGTACCGTCAGGCTTTGATCCTCATGATGAATAATGGTACTAATCTTCTCATAGTGCATGAATCGGGATGTTTCTATTCGCTGTCATCGAGTTTTTTTGTTTTATGTTATTGTTTCACCACTCGGCAGAGGAAACAATGGTTCTGATGTTTTTGGGGTCTAAAAAGTCAGATATTTGGAGACGTGTTAGTTTTTCTTACAAAAACTGTGATCAGCTGTTGCATTTAGTTATTTTTTATAGATCTAAATATTTGTTTTTATGAAGATGTTTTAATGATGTGTATTTATTTATTTATTTGTACAAATAATTCTTAAATTCAAATGTTAGAACTTTGTAGAAAGCCCCAACTACAGCAACTGAAAAAAATAGAACGTAGTTTGTGTTAAATACAAAAACACATAAATTAGAATAACTAGGGCTGCGCGATATATCAACATCAATATTGGAATCGGCTGATGTTAATCATGTTTTAACAAATTGTTACGGACTGATGCAAACTAAAACTGGGCTGATATCTTTTACATGTTATTTATGTTTGTGTGTCTGTCTCAGAGGGGGAGGGGGGTTATAATGTGTAATTATTTAGTAATGTGACAGTGATGGTACTCATTCCAGAAGCATTTATATAGATATAGATCTCTCTCTCTCTCTTATATATATATGTGTGTGTGTGTGTGTGTGTGTGTGTGTGTGTGTGTGTGTGTGTGTGTGTGTGTGTGTGTGTGTGTGTGTTAATATACACACCTGTACATAGATGATCAGTTATTGGCCATAACAATGATAATAATATCTGTATCGGTCCAAAATGTCGTATCGACGCATCCCCAAGAACAACGTGTCCACTTACTCTTTCCCTACTTTTGTAACGTGGCTTATTTGACACAGAATCAGAACCAGACTCAGTTTTGTCCAGCAGGAGAAGCTCTGGCTGGAGCAGAAATCGGCTGACATGGTAGCTCTGACTCATGGTTGTTTCGAGGAATTAAAGCTACGTTTCCACAAGGATGTGATGTCCACAGGCTTAAACGACGCTGCACACCTGAACACCTCACATACCTGTCATCAAAAGTGAGACCTGTTTGGCTGCATTCTCACCATTTTAGGTGATTTACGGTAATTCAATTCAATTCAAAAATACTTTATTAATCCCAGAGGGAAATTGATTAACATAGAGGCTGCGCCGCTCCTCCTGTGAAGTTGATCTCAGGTCAGCTCAGCTCCCTCTGACAGGAATTAATGGATGAGAAGGTGCCTTTACGTGGGAACATTCCTCTCACCTGTTTCTCTGCATTCTTGGTGGATGTCTGTGCTCATTAATGGGTTTGACTGGTTTCACGCCAGAGCTCGTGCTCTTTGGGTCTGACTCATTCATCATCCATCTGACGGTGGGAGGGTTAAGTGGAAATTCTACAAAAGGCCAAGGAATCCCTCTACAGGGTTATTCCTACGGCACACACGTGTGTGTGTGTGTGTGTGTGTGTGTGTGTGTGTGTGTGTGTGTGTGTGTGTGTGTGTTTGTTAAAATCTATAATTCTCATTTACGTGTGTTTTAAGGGATACAAAAATGATTCAATCAGGGGACAAACATTTATTTTACTGTCTTTATGAGGATTTCCACAGCAAAGCGTCTTAATCTTCCGTCTCATTCCTGCCTGAGTCACCTGTTTCACGTTATTTTTTCATTTTTTTCATTTCACTTGAGTCTCACCCATGATCTGGAATGAGGAGTTCATATTTTACATTTGTGTCTTTGCTGAACTCAAACGATCAGATGCAGTTTCTGTAGTTATTAGTCCCTGAGAGACCTTCCTCTTCAGTGGGTTTAAAAATCCTGATAGTCCTACCAATTAGCATCAATGCTGCAGCTGAAAACACGGCTACTGGATTTGTTTGCTGGGTGGAATCAGATTTCATGTACAGGTTCATAGATATTTGATTTTATTTAATTTTTCTTGTCTTCTTTGTTGTCTTGAGTAAAATTTTTGATTAAATCAGGCTGAAGTTGAACTAAATGAAGTTGAATCAGAAACACATTCAAGCACTCTAAATATTATCTGAAACGGGTTTGGGATGAAGGGCTTTCCTGATATGCTGGTGCAGAGCACACAAGCGCCAACCACCAGTCTGCTCACATTATGGCTGTAATGTGCAGATCATCCAGAGCCTACAGTCTGTTCTGTGCAGTCAGAACGTTGGATAAGGGTTTTTTAGCTGAGGACATTCATTACCGTGTCCTATCAGTCCCCCAGGTACAGGTCGGACACTCAGGACTCGCTGTGCTGTATCTGTAGCGTCTTGTCTGTCCCTCTCTCCTCCACTGGTCCCTAATTAGTGTGTGGATCTCCAGATGCTTCAGTGCATGCTGGTTTATGATGTTCCTCACCTCAGAAATATTCACTTAATTTGTGTAGGTGTGAAATATACTTTTTTTTACTTTTGTCCTTATGTCACCCTGTCATGACAGTCTAGCTGTTAAAAAACAAATATGGTTGAAAGACTGGTGATAATTGGCGTCAGCTAAAACACAAAAGGAATCGGTTTTAAATTCGAACACTAATAGATGATTACATAAAAATATAAACACCAGCTAAGTGTCATTTTATGACTTAATCTCAGACACCTGGCCCCGAAAGATTTAAAGCCATACTTTGCAGCTTTTTTTATATTTTAAATCATTTTCTTGAGCCAGTATGTGTTAAAATTACCCTTTACAGCAGGGATGTTCACTCCTGGGCCCGGAGGGCCTGTATCCAGCACGTTTTACTTTCAAGTCTGCAGGTGATTAACAGGCTTCTGCAGAGCCTCATCTGCTGCATAGGTGATTCAACCACTGAATCAAGTGCGTTGGAGCAGAGAAACTACTAAAACGTGTTGGATACCAGCCCTCCAGGCCCGGAGTTGAATACAGGGTTAATGAAATGTCACTCAGGCCCCGGTGCACTCTGTGGTCAGTATATGGCTTTTGCTACTCCAGAGTACCGGTCTGTTGGACATAGGGGAAAAAAAAAAAGAGTTTACATACCGGGTGCTGCAGGCTGCTTCCAGCACGTTTCCTGCATGCTTTAGATCACGGACACAGCTGATTTTGTAATTTATTGATGAACCACTCCTGTAGACACTAAGGAATGCTGTGGAAATGTTTCAGCTGTTAGATTAAAGGTATTAAAAAGATGAAAGCAAAGCAAGGAGACAACTTTTATTTTCGGTTTTACCACATCCTCACTGGACACTAGGGGGTGCTTTAAGCAAGTAAAACTGCTTATTATCCCATTGAATCATTGAAACTGCATGAAAAAATAAAAAAGTGGCATTGATATCTGACTTTTTAAAGTCCAGTTACTGATCTAAGCCATAGGTGGACTAAGTCAACTAGGGTGTTAGTTGGGAGGAATCTGGTGATACGTATCACCATACAGGAGAGGAGGTACAATACATTTTGATTCTAAAAGCCAGATTTTTTCCATTTTTATGACTGAATTCAAGCCTAACGCTTCCAAGACACATTCAGGGTTATAGCTAAATCTTGTTGTCGTGTCAGAATGAAGGCGGTAAAACCTGCTGCCACCTAGCAATTGGAATTTGAATTGCACCTCACAAAAGTAAAACGGTAAATCTTGTAAATTCTCGATTTACAAATTGATACATTACTTTTAAATATTGATTCAGCATCATAACATGAAATTATCACGATGTTTCAGTCTATCAATATTTTATACTCTCTAAAGTCAACCGTACCAGGACCTTTTGGAGGAGCTGATCTTGATTTGGTTTTAATGACCAGTCAGCAGACTGAGCACGTTTTGGTTCACTCGGTTTTCTCAGTTTGAAAAGAAACAGAACAACAACAATTTGGTACAATTCAACAAACTTGTGAACCAATTCAGGCCAAAGAGAACCAACTATAAGCATGAAAACCTTTTGTGTGCTCTAGATCAGTTAGTTATGTTCACTCTTTTTCTATTTTCAGGCATGTTGCTGAGAAGCTGGTCCCATCCGGACCGGACAATGATGCTGCTGGTAAACCCCCAGAGCGGGAAAGGACAGGCGCTAACCTTTTATTACAACCACGTCCAGCGAATGCTCAACGAAGCTGGTATCGCACACACTCTAATTATCACAGGTGAGCTTCTTACTACCTTACATGCTACCAGCGTTAGTAATCCATCCATTTATCCATTTTCGGCCACTTATCCGGGGTCGGGTCGCGGGGCAGTAGCCTAAGAAGGGAGGCCCAGACTTCCCTCTCTCCAGCCACTTGAGCCAGCTCCTCCAGGGGAATCCTAAGACGTTCCCTGGCCAGCCGAGAGACATAGTCCCTTTAGCGTGTCCTGGGTCTTCATTTAGGTCTTCTCCCTGGTTGGACGTGCCCAGAAAACCTCACCAGGGAGGTTTCCAGGAGCAATCTCCGACCAGATGCCCGAGCCACCTCAACTGGCCCCTCTCGATGTGGAGGAGCAAAGGGTCTACTCCGAGCCCCTCCCAGATTACTGAGCTTGTCACCTCATCTCTAACGGAGAACCCAGCCACCCTTGCGGAAAAAATTCATTTGGGCCATCATGTTCTTTCGGTCACTACCCAAAGCTCTTGACCATAGGTGAGGATCAAAATGTAGATTGACCGATGAATCAAGAACTTTGCCCTCTGGCTCAGCTCTCTCTTCACCATGATAGATTGGTACAAAGGACGAAGCATCACTCTGCCTGTCTGAACTCATGAACAAGACTCCAAGATACTTAAACTCATCCACTTGGGGCAGGACCACCTTTTTGACCCGGATAAGGCATTCTGCCCTTTTCCGACTCAAGAACATGGTCTCGGATTTAGAGAAGCTGATTCTCATTCAGCTGCTTCACACTTGGCTGCGAACCGCTCCAGTGAGAGCCAAAGATCACATTCTGATGAAGCCAACAGGACCACATCATCTGCAAAAATCAGAGACTCAATCCTTAGGCCACCGAAACGGATCCCCTCAAAACCTTGGCTGCACTTAGAAATCCTGTCCATAAATGTTATGAACAGAATCAGTGATAAAGTGCAGCCTAGGTGGAGTCCAACTCTCAACAGAAACAAGACGTATTTACTGCTGGAAATGCGGACCAA